GATCTGAAGAGGTCTGAGTCACAACCTCACTTGTTTCACTATGTAAGTGCATGATGCCATATGCCCCAGGAGTTTCAGGCAGTTTCTTGCTGTGTTGATGGGTTGGTTTCTGAGGCTCTCTACAATGGAACCCAGGGCCTGGGACCAGGCTTCTGGAAGAAAGGCTCTGGCCTGGATCAAGTCAAGGACTTGGATACTATCATTTGGATGGGGACAGTGCTGATTTCTGCATGTTTATCAACAGGCCTAACCTCTGGAAGGTTGACAGTACTAGCCATATGTATGCCTCCACCTGGGCCCTAGTCTGACTTCCGATCAGCCAGTTAACGAGGTAAGGACATATCTAAACCCTTTGTTTCCTTAGGAAAGCTGCAACAACTGCAATGCACTTTGTGAATACCCATGGGGCTGCTGGCAGGTCAAATGTGAGCATTGGTACCTGATTCACAATGAATTGGAGGAATCTCCTGTGACCTTGGAAGATTGAGATATGAAAATAAAGTGTTCCAGTAGAGGGTGGCATACCAGTCCCCTGAATCCAGCAAAGGGATAATGGAGGCCAAGGAAATCATACGGAACTTCTGCTTCTGCATGAATCTGTTGAAGTTTCGCAAGTCCAGGTTTGAGACTCCTTTTGGCATTCAAGATTAGGAAACAGGAGTAAAACCCCTTGCCCCTTAGCTCCAGAGAAACCACCTCTACTACTCCCACTTGCAGATGCGTTCGCACTTCCTGGATTAGAAGTTGCTCATGAGAAGGGTCCCTGAAGAGGGACAGGGAGGAAGGGAGAACTGAACTGCAGGGGATATCCTATGTGCATAGCACCTAGCAGTCTGAGGTGATACGGGCCCACACCCAATAAAAGTGGGATAACAGGTCCACAAAAACTGGGGAAGGTGGATCCAGACATTGTCCTGGTACAACGTCCTTGGATGTACCCTTAAAAGGCATGCTCAGACCCAGCCAAATGTGTGGTGGGGCCAGCCCTGAGGGTAGACAAGGACTGGGGAGGCAGCCTCCTCTTATAGCTCATACTCCGCCTCGTACTGTAATCCTGCCTTGACTGAGGCTAGTAGAAACAGGGCAATGGCTGGGGTTTAAAAGTGCTTCCTTGATGGGGCTAGAGTGTATAGTCCTAGCGACTTTAGGGTGGATCCTTTAAGCTGCGGAGCTCAAGTCTGTCTTCTCTGAAAAGAGAGACACGCGCTCTCGAAAGGGAGGCCCTCAATAGTCTGCTGCACTTCATATGGGAGGCCCGAGGCCTGTAGCCATGAGCTTCTCCATATGAGAAGCCATGAGCTCCTCCTTCCAAAGCCATGGTTTGTGCAGCAGAGTCCATCACAACCAATGCTGCTTGCAAGTACACTTTTGCCACTGCTCTGGCCTACTCAACTAGAGCCAAGAACTCGGCACTAGATTCCTGTAGCAGGAACTCCTTGAACTTAGTCATTGTGCCCCAGGACTTAAAGTCATAGTGGCTCAGGAGCATCTGTTGGTTGGTGATTTGAAGTTGGAGCCCCCCCCAGTGGAGTAGATCTTTCTGCCAAAAAGGATACAGCTTCTTGGCATCCTTGGCCCTGGGGTTAGATCCTTGCTGTCTCTGCTTCTTGTCTGTTTACCACTGACAGCACTAGCAACCCTGGAGACGGATGGGTGTATAAGTACTCAAACCCCTTTGGGGGAACAAAATCTCTTTTCTCCACCCCTCTTTGCAGTAGGTTGCAAGGATGCTGGAGTCTGCCACAGTGCCTTAACGAGTTCTAGAATGGCACCATTCAGAGGCAAAGCCACTCGCGATGGTCCCAAAGGGGCCAAGATGTAAACCAGGGCATGGGAGGCTTCCAAGATTTCCTCCACCTGGATCCCCAGGTTTTGGGCTACTTTCCTGAGGAGTTCCTGGGGTGCCCTTTAATCATCCTGAGCAGGCACAAATGAAGTCCCCACTATCACCCCATAAGGAGGATGTTAGGACAGGTACAGGGCCCTGTTCCTGTCCTTCAGCAGCTGAAGGATCCCACAGTGCCGGGTCCTGAAGTTCAGTGCCAGGCTTGGTACCAGGTCCTGACTCCCATACCAAAGGAAGTGCTGGGGGAGCTGTATGCTCCAACACAATGGAGTAAGATCTCATTGACTGAGACCCTTGGACCAGAAGGAAGGCCCAGGGATTCCAGAAAGGCCATTGCACCAGTTTTTGCCACTGTGCTGGTCAGGCCATTGGTCAGAACTCTTGGCCCATATCAGCTGTCAGGTATCAGTGGTCAGAGTAGTCTGAGCTCCTGTGGGAGGTGTAAGATTCCGCATCAGAGTCCGACTGCGAAGAGTCGCCCAAGAGCAGTGCCAAGAGGTAGGCAACAGGTGCATTGTCATCATTGCTGGTTTTCCCTGCCTTGTGAGGCCTCGGTGCCATAGTCATTCATCTCTGGTGCCTGTTCATGCCTGGTGCGGGATGACAGCACAGGAGGCATAGTAGCTCCCTTGCTGCCTCAAACACCTCTGGTGTGGATGGAAGCACCAGGGCTGCAGTCCGATGGCTCTCCCTCGGAGGACAGTCCAACAGTACTGACTCAACAGGACCCTTTCCTGGGCCGGAATCAATGGTACTAGGCTGACAGCTGTTGAGTCCAAGTGGCCTGACACAGGCCTCATTCTGCCAGCTTCCTGTCACGAGCGGGTCTCGGAGTTAGGGAGCACTCCATCTGTTTTTCTTTGCTTCTTCCTCCACATCGGAAACTGAGATCTGTGCAGCATGTCCTGGTGCGGGGTAGACCGCCTCTGTATTGGAAAGGTCTGTTGGTGCAGTGTCCTGGGACGTGGAATCCTTCCTCAGTGTTGAAGAAGCTGAGCTATACTGCCCGTCTCTCAGAAGCCAGTGCACTTCTCACCAGGTTAGAGATACACAGTGTCAAGTCAGCATGACTTGGCTCCAAGGCCAGATGGAGAGCCACCTCCATAAAAAGGAATTTGGATCTCTAGTCCCTGTCCTTTTTGGTATGGGGTTTGAACCCCTTACAAATCCTGCAGTGCTCCAAGAGGTGGGACTCCCCCAAGCACTTAAAGCAAGCAGAGCGAGAGTCACTATATGGGCACGACTCCAGGGGGCACCAGAGCCGACGCAACAGATTCCATAGGGGGAAAAACTTTCTGATGGCAGTACACGGAGCACATGCACACACCACCACACTGGAATGGACATGAGCAAGGATGCAAAGAAAGTTATGATCATGTCTCTCTCCTCTCATCTCCACATAACCAGATTTTGAGTTCTGGTGGGCACGCGGAACATGCAAGTGCATGTAGAAGTGCTCTAGTCCCATCTGTTTTAGACATCCCTAATGGGATGCCTTGGGAGGTGACAGCAAGACCCATGCTAAGTACTTCTCAGAACAATACTCCTTGATGTAGCATACATCATTGTTTGTAACCCAGAATTTGCCAAGTAACTTAACTATTGCCAGTGTTCCCCTGTATGTTTCCTGACCATCCAGTTACTGAATCAGGCCAAAACATGCATACACTGAACACTTTACAATAATCAAGCATAGAAAGGATATTGGATTACTACAGGCACTTCCAAATCAAAGATTTTATCATGAGGTAAGTAGGCAAGATCAGCACTATAACCCTGACCTAGTTTACCTCACAGTAAAATAAGTGTCTTGTCTCCTCTATGCTTTTACTGCAGAAAAACTAACATGTTTTAGTTATCTCGTGGTGAAAACACACCCTTTGCAGGGGAGGGTGTGTGTGTTAGTGATGACATAGTATTTGGTTAATATGTTCAACTGTCTACCAAAAGTTTATGACATGCCAAAAAATAAAGTATGCAGCATAAAATAGAATGTAATACCAAAAACCATAAAGAACATTGTATCAATTTTCATGCTTCCTTGAAAAAAAAAAAGGGGCTTTTTTTTTTTAAATTTACCTGAACCTGCTACAGAATTTCACTGTGTCACACCAACATGTCACAAAATTTAGAAGGCACTTCCATATAATTTGGGTTCCGTTATTACCAATTACATGATGCTATGCCATCAACAGCTCCAAATATATGCTGGACAAAATGGCATGCTGTGGAACCTCACATGCAAGTGTCCTCAAAGTAGATGAGCCTGGTACTATTGTCTAGGACCTTTCAGAAATAAGAGTCACCCAAGAGTGGCCCTGTCAATTCATAAAATTGCATAGCAGAGAACTACAGTATCAAAGACAAGAGAGACTAGGAGAACCGGAATGTCTCATTAATCCCAGCAGATCAAATACCACAACTGACAACTTCTGCTGTACAAGGACTAAAACCAAAATGACTGGAAACAGAGACCTGATCAAACTAGCACCTTGCCTTCCCTTGTGTTGCTATGCCAAATATTAAAATGGCCTCAATATTTCCCAGCTGGTAGTCAATAAGTTACCCCACCAAGTCTAAAGCTCCTCTAAGAGTCACAGACTGAAATTCATGCAGAAACATTTTCTCCCAGAGAGGAAAATTCAATTTCAGAGACAAGAGCGTCCTTAAAGCAACTGTATCTATGAAATAACTGGAAAATTCACAGAGAAAAAAAACAAAAAACCCCACTTCACTGTCACCTGGTGCAAATCAACTGGATTAGCAAGTCATCACAGTTCTGCTTTGTTTCCAGCACACCAACAGCAGAAGACCTCAAGAACGCGAATTGAAACAGATCCACAATTTGGAACAACTTCTGACAAGAGCATTCTAAACAGTCTTCTCTTCTGCTTCTGTCATGTCACCTGTATATCAGCAATTTGGAGGAGGAAGAGGGTGTTTAGGCATCACAATATTGATGGAGGAAGACAACCTGCATTTGATTAAACCATCAGTAAAATGTTTTTTTTAGCCAAGTATTCTCCCTGAGAACCCACTGGAACTCAACAAGGTTTCATTAGCCCCCAGGGCCAGACAGTCACAAATGGTATATTTTGCCTTAGAAGAAAATTTTAAAATGAAATATATAATTATCTCGCTAACTAGATCTTACCATTTGCCGATATTCCCGAATCATTTTTAGTTTATCTTCTCCACCTTTGTTTTCTTCTTTCTGTTCAATGCTGCTGATTATTCTCCATGAAGCTCTTCTAGCTCCAATCACGTTTTTATATGCCACAGATAGAAGGTTTCTTTCTTCCACTGTCAACTCCACATCCATTCCAGCCACTTTTTTCATTGATTCAACCATTTCTAGGAGGCAAAGGTTACTGATTAGGCATATTAAACAGAGTTTCCCCACAGACTTCTGAATTGCTTATTTACTTTATTTCTTCTCAAAACAGACTTGTAAGCCATTCAGTAAAAGATTAAATTTTCAGTTTATGCACTGATCTTCATTTTCAACAAACTGGGCTCAGTCCTACCCTTCATCGCCTGTGACTCCTCACCTTTTAGAGGACAGGTGACAACTTAGACAAGCAACTCAAAAAATATTAGACAATTCCCACATCAACATTAAACCACTAAAATCTTCTGGGTAGGGATCAGGTCCACCTCTTTGTACAGTGCCATGATCCTCATTGGTGCCTGAGCACTTGTACAATATAAGTATTAAAATGAATTAAAACATTCTCTTATAATGTTAAAGCTTCAAAATCAAACCCTCAAAAGTTAGGACATGCCAAAACTAAGTTTGTCTGTGCAACCATATTCCCCCTCCTTGTATGTATTAGGATACATGTTTTATTACAGGATCACATACTATTTTTTCCACAGAATGCCTACCTCATTCAGTGCATGGGATGGACAGTGTCCACTGAAGAGCTAGCTATTCAATATTTCTTTGTAGCCTTGTCATTCATTGTATGGTTCCATGCTTTACTTACTGAACATCATTTAAACTCTACACAGAATACAATACAGAAATATGGATTTTCCTATGATGCTCATTTTGGAGTGTGAATGATTTAAAAATGTGAATTTATCTTTACAACACCCCTTAGACAAGAGGGCATTATCCCAATTTTACAGATGAGTATCCAAGAGAAGGCTGAAGTGGTCAAGCATCCACTAATTTTGGTTGCCCAACTTGAAACATCTAGTGCCTAGTTATTTTTGAACAACTTCCAATTTCTGCAATGAGGTAGGGTCAATAGTGGTTCTCAAACTTATTTGATTGGGACTGTAGTAGTTTACACCACCAACTGCCAGTACATATACCAGCATCCAGCTCTGAAGGAGCGCTGAGCCAGCAGCGGCACAGAAGGGTGGCAATGTTAAAAGTGATATTGATCAATATCACTTTTTGCAGCAGATTTAGCGCCCTATTGCCACTCTTATTTCTGCCACCTTCTGTTGCCACCTTGGGGCTGACACCTGGAGCCCTGCTGCCTTCCAGTGAGGGAGAGAACCCAAGCCCAGGTGGCAGTGCTCCAGCTGTCCCCTTTATCCAAGTATGCACGTCCCTTCCGCATGAGCCCCAGAGACCCAGGGCGGAACCCAGAGCTCTTTAAAAAAAGGTACACAGTTCATGCTTCCCTTCGGAGGCCCGCCCCATAGTTTGAGAACAGCTGATATACAGAGACCTCAGCCTGCTTAATACCATAGTAAACATACCATTAAAATCCTTTAAACCATTTAAAAAAATAGTTAAAGCATTTAAAACATAGCATTAAATAAGGCTCTCATTTTAACAATATCCCTTGTTCCCTATCCTTTTAGCTGGAGAGTGTTTTTAGAAGGAAAACCCCGTTTTACAGTCTTAGGCTATTTCTACACAACACACCTTAAACAGTGCGACTGTGCCTCTGCAGCCACACCATTGTAAGGTGCGTTGTATGGCTGCTCTTTATCACCGACAAAATAAAAACAGCCCAACGAGGGGCGGTAGCTTTGTTGATGGGAGCATGACTCCAGACAATGAAGCACTGTCCACATCAATGCTTTTCATCGCTAAAGCTTGTGTCATTCAGGTGGGTGTTTTTTCACACCTGTGAGCAACAAAAGTGCCAGTGTACACATAGCCTTAGATAGTAACAAAGATGGTAATAACGGTCCTTTTGTGGAACAGAGAAGTTAGCAGAGATGAGCTGGAGTTGCTGCTATTTTTAAAGTCCAATCCCATTTCATCTCAGGTGGTGTTGCAGCTTCAGCTGGTAGTGGTTAACAAAGTCATCTGGATCCCTCTCTCTGGTCCATCCTGGTCAGAACATCACTTAGGATTAGGACAAAAAAAGTTCAGGGTCCTAGGAGACGGTGGAGGGGGCAGCCATGATGAAGCTCACTTCAGTCGTCTTCATCTGTTCCTCTCCATTCTGCTTTCCCCAAAAAAGGTCTCTCTTTAAGAACCCAACAAGGAAGTGATGGATAGAATAGCCCATCCCCTCATTATTTTGTCCACCCATTAGGTCTAATATCTGACACCAATTTTGGTCAATTAATTTTTGGTTCCACATATTTGGTTTTTACCAAATATGATTTCAACATAATCCTTGAATTTTAACATGGCCTTTTTCTCTGAACTAATTTAGTCTGTCTGGTTTTCTTGCACCTGTTTACAACATGCATTGCTGAAAGCAACAAAACATTTTCCATCAATATTTATTATTACAGATTATTGTAACAACTTAAGAACTTGCACATACTTTTTACAATTGAGCTTACAATTAGGGTACATTTGTAGGCTCAAATATCACAACAGATTCCACAAACAGCCTCATTCACTACATAACCCTGATTTGTTCCCTGAGCACCATCCATCCTGTGCACTTAATGAGAAAGGATTCTGTGGAAAAACAGAACGTAATCATAAATTAACTACTGCACCACAACACTTATGCACAAGAGGGCCAAATTAAGGTTGCACAGAAAATTCTTATGTTTTCTAGCTTTTGCAATTAAAGATCTTTTAATTCAGGGCGGTTTTTTAAAAGTAATTTCTTGCTTTAAAAAAAAAAAACACAAATTCCATCACGTGGAACCATACTCCTTCCCATGCAGGTCTATATCAAGGTTGGTACCCTTACAGCCACAGCCCAGACAGTTAACAGGGTAACTGGTAACAGGAATAGACTTATCTTGCATATGGACTTCAGTCACGATGGTTATGTCTACACTGCAATTAGACACCTGCCACTGGCCTGTACAGACTCAGGACTGCGGGGCTTGGGCTAAGGGGCTGTTTAATTGCAGTTTAGACCTCCAGGTTCAGGCTGAGACACCTTACAGGGTCCTAAAGCCCAGGCTCTAGCCCAAACCTGAACATCTACACCACAATTAAAGCATCGCCTTAGCCAGGTGCCACAGGCCAGCCATGGGTGTCTATCTGCAGCATAAATATAACCTAATAGGAGGATAAGACACTTAGCGGTGAAACCCAGTGGCAATCTGCCAACAGCAGAGGACTGTTGGGACTCAAGAGTCCCGGGTTCTAAATCTAGGTTCTGCAGAGAAGCATGTTCTAGTGGCTAGACTTCTGCTGTCTCCTGCAGATGCCCCTCCCCCCATCTGCCTGATCTCCAGCCTGTTCCATCCTGTCTCTATACCCCTGCTCCCATTGCCGCTGCTGCCACCACCACCAGCAGCCTGCCCCAGAGCTAACCTCCCCACCTCACCTCTCTACAGTCAAGCAAGTCAGACTACCTACTCATTCTCCATGCCAACTGGTCACCAGCTAGGGGAGCACAAACCATAGCAGCGTATCTCCTTACGGTCAGTTACCAGAGTGGCTCTCTGCTGCCAGGAGGAGCAATTTTAGGAACCAGGCCTTTGCAGCCTGTGACGAAGTGGGACTGTTCTTAATGTTTCCTCTGAATAGTGTGGGGGTGCCTCAGTTTCCCCTAGGCAGTTCTTAAGTATCTAGGGGGTGGAGTAAGGGTGTATGATCATTGCAGAGCCCTAGAGGGCAGGTGTGTGCAGGAGTCTGGACACAGAGAATGGCCGACACCCTGTTTCCTGGCAACTGATGGCCTGGACCCTTCCCCCCCTGCAAGGTGAGAGCTAAAGGGTTGGAGAACAAAGGAATCAGGTGACCACCTGGCCCGGGAAAGGAACAAAGCCCAGAGGAGGAGGGGCTGGAGGGGGTTTTCAGTTTGGGGCTGGCTGGGACATGGAGTGAAGTGCAGACGTGGTTGTCTGGCTCACTACCCCCCAAAATGGACCCAGCTGAGGGGTCCCGTTCTCTGCACCTGCAAGCTCTGGTTTAGACCATGTTCCTGTCGTCTAATAAACCTTCTGTTTTACTGGCTGGCTGAGAGTCACATCTGACTGCGAACTTGGGGTGCAGGACCCTCTGGCTTCCCCAGGAGCCCCGCCTGAGCGGACTCGCTGTGGGAAGCGCACCGAGGGGCAGAGGATGCTGAATGCTCCGAGGTCAGACCCAGGAAGATGGAAGCTGAGTGAGCTGCGTGTCCTGAAGACAGGCTGCTCACAGAAAGGCGACTACCCCAGAGTCCTGACTGGCTTCATGGGGAGCAGTTCCAGAGCATCGCCCAGGGACTCCGTGACAACTGGTGGCAGCGGTGGGATGTACTACACCCCGTGGATGGTGCTTCCTGCAGTAAGTGACTGGGGAGCAGTAACACGAAGGGGGATTGCCGAGGACCAGGCCTGCTGATGGCTCAGAGAGGAGCGGTTTCGGGGGGCGGTTAACCCCTGGGAGTGTGTGACCAGCGAGAAGGACTGTGCAGTAACAGGGTTCCCCTGGGGATTGCAGCGAGCAGTCCAAGGGGCGGAGGAGTCTGCAGCTCGACCCTGGCAAAGAGGTGGTGACCTCGAGAAGGGCTGGCACACTAGGGGTTCTCCCTGGAAACCGTGGGGAGCTGAGAACACACGGGCCTGTGAGTCCACAACAACTTGGGAGGAGCGGAGTGATGGCCTGTCACCGTCTCCTTAAGAAGGACATTGTAACCCTGTGCAAAAAGAGAGGGTTGAGCGTTGGAAAGTTCACCAAAGCAGAGTTAATCGTGCAGCTGGAGGAGGATGACCGCTCTAAGGAACAGATTCCTGACCCCAAATGGGGCTATAGCAGGATCTGGGAGCAGCTGGAGTGGGAGCCAGGCATCGCCAAGACTCCTGTCCCCGACCAGACGGGGGTCTTCACGATCGGGTTCCGCATCGGGGGATCGAGACGGACGGGATTGGAGCTGAGTCTGAGAGAGCAAGAGGACCGTGGGAGACAGCGAGAGCCCGAGAAAGAGCTGCAGAAGCAGCAGCAGGATGAACTGGCGGTGGTGGGGTGGAGAGGCCATGGG